GTATCAGAAAATTTGGAGAATAAGAGTCCTCAACATATTGGAAGAAATCAGTCTATATATTAGCAATAAAAAAGGATGCACAACAGAGTATGCAAACAATAACACTACAGATGTTAAAGTTGGTTTTAGAAAGGCCAAGGAACAAAAGATATTATTGCTGAGGCACATTCAATGAATGAATGAGAAAGTCAAAGAATACCCAAAATAAGGGAATGTGTGTTTTATTAATTATGAAAATGCCCTTGATTGCATCAACCATATCAAGCCATAGAATGCGGAAATCCTGGAACATCTTCATGAAAAATATATACAAAAATGATGAAACCATAGTCTGAGCAGATCATGTTGAAACATACTGGCTCCAGCTTAGCTAAGGAGTGAGACATAGCTATAAATATGGCTGTATACTCTCCCCAAACTTATTCAGAATATATTGAGGGAAGCCAGATTATCACAAGATGACTGTGCTTTTAAATTGGAGGAACAAACATCAGTAATTTCTGCTGTAGTGATGCTACTCTGAAAAGGCAAATGAACTGCAAGCTCAAGTAATGAAAGTCAAGAAGTGCAATGAAAAAAATTGCACAATTAAATAAAAAGATCAAACCAGTATTAACAGGTATAGCAACCAGCCTTGAATTTGACAATGAAGATAGTGAAATGGTGGGTAGCTTTTGCCTTTTATAATTGATTTACAATAGTAAAAGAACTAGCAGATTAGCACTTGATAGAGTAGCCACAAAAAAGCCTTGTAAAAGATATTCAGATGTGGGATATCTCCATATCTACAAAAATCAAAATCGTGCAGGGAAGTTTCTGTTGTGAAACTGTAAAGCAGTGAAAATTAGATTTTAAAGGAGCAGGGTAGAAACAGTACTGACACTTTTCAATATCATAAATAGCTAAGAAAACCAAGAAGTGGATCAGTGACAAGCAGATCAGTGAAAAAAATCAACTCGGAGTTCTCATTCAAGACACAAGTGATTATGCTCAAGTTTGCATGCTTAGGACATAAAACACACATGACCCAGCTCTAGCGAAATCTATAATGCTAGGAAAAATAGAAGGAAAGAGAAGAGGAGACTGACCAACAGTAAAGCGGATGGACTCACTCAAGTGAAAGAGCAATGGGTACACTACTGGAATACCTAAAAGCCAGGTTGGAGAAAGATTATTCTGGAGAAGATAATAGAAGGTAATATGCAAGAATACATTTAAAAGGAACTAAATAATAGGAGAGGTAGCACAGTCTACTAAATATAAAATCTGATTGACTTTAGACATTAATGTAAATAAAAAGCAAAAGTACCATTTGCTCACACTTCCATTTTGTTTGCTCACTTGGTGTTACACCTAATGGGAGAGGCATAGCTATAGCTTAATACAGGCTATACTGACTTGTCCACTACAAAGCACTACAGATTCCCCCTTTGGACTTGAATAAGATATGGCAAAAAATGACAACATGAATTAGAAAAATCTCAAATATTCGTTTAATAGCTTATGTGATCCACTATGTACTGTTTGCACTGTGAAACAATGCAAAGTTGGATAACAAAAAACAGTCAGAATGATTCGCTGTAACATTGCAATGAAAAACTCAATATGCATAGGAATTAGGAAACTGATTTAAAGCATGCAATATAATATCAAGGTGATGGGACAAATTATGTACATTTACAATTAATTACACCATTCAGTGTGTTATAAAGGTAATCCTCATTCAATGATCACTCATTCAACAAATGTTCAAAGTTGTGACGATGCTAAATGAGAGGGACATATGACAAGTCCTCAGTTGTGGACACTACTCTCTCCCCACAATCACATGATTGTGATTAGGGCACTTGCCAACCAGTTCACAATTATGACAGTTGCAATATCCCATGATTACATAATCATCCTATTTGATCTTCACTGAAAAATTTTGACAAGCAAAGTCAATGGGGAAACTGACAGGAAGTAGCAAATGACCACAGGATGCTGCGAGTGTACAGACTTCACCTAATGACAGCAACTGTGACTGTTGCAACTAACGTTGTAAGTTGGTGCAGTCAGATGACATAGTATTTTATCTACTTAGCAACAGAGTTGCCATTCTTAATTGTTAAGTGAGAACTGCCTGTAATGATTAACATATGGTATTATTAATATTCAGGTAGCTCAGTCAAAGCTAATATACAATGGCACAGGTGGCATATACTTTTACAAATAAATATAGTAAAAGGAAAAGTGGATTACAACTCCTACATTTCTCTTTGGATAAAAAATGAAATGTGAAAGATAATGTAATCCTATGAAACTAATGAAATGCATCTGCCACAGGCATATGGGAACAAAAAGTCAGATTTGTGCCAGTAGGAGAATCGTGGGCTATTATCTGGATAGTAGGATTAAGTTAAATGATATAAAGCAATTTAACACCAAGATGAATAATAGGTACTAAATTAAGCCATGGTTCAAGCCCAGCTTTTCAGGAACCAATTTTGACTAACAGGGTAGGGGAAGACAGCCTTCTCTGCCATCGTCCTGCCCTTTGGAATATCCTCCTTCCCAAAATCCCAAAATGAGGTGAAACCCCATTCTCCTGGTCTTTCAGAACAGTTTGAGTACCTGGCTCTGATTATTTGCTTGGGGCTCGCAGAGAAGTAGGCAACCTTTGGGCTGGCTAGCACCTTGAAGTCCATCCCTTGCCTTTTTCACTTTAATTATATTCCTGTTTTAGCTGCCATCTACAAAAATATGGTATTTAATCTTTAATTGTACACTAACCAGAGTTGCCTGGTGCGATGGGTGGTCTCTAAATTTTAAATATTTAAAGTTACACATATATGATTTTTTTAATCTGGCATAATATTGTAATATATCTGGTAATCTGTATTCCCCATTCCTGATATTATATAGATTTCCAAAGTTTACAATTATTTAAAATGTTTATCCTACCTTTATTATGTTATAAGTAACTTAAGGCTGTAAACATATAGCATGCACTGCATAATTTTGGTATAAGAGTTCAAAGGATTGCATCATATATACACCTTTCAGTTTCCATATGTACCACAAACACATCTAAAGCATATTTTCTTGTGGCAAAAGGATAATTACTATATTTATGTTTGTGGGCCAAATGTCTTATCAGTGGTAAAATTCACTGAAATTCATTTCCCATGGTGCCTGTTGTCTTACATCTAGTAGAAATAAAGATAGTACTCAACTTACAACCATTCATTTAGTTCAAAGTTACATTGGCACTGAAAAAAGTGACATGACTGTTTTTCACATTTACCATAATTGCAGCATTCCTGTGGTTACATTATCAAAGTTTGGATGCTTACAACTGGTATGTATTTATGACAGTTGCAAAGTTTTATTTATTTATTTATTTATTTAACATGGATTTATATGCCGCCCTTCTCCCTATAGGACTCAGGGCGGCTTACAGCATATTAAAACACATAAAACATCATCCCCCCATAAAAACCTGTTAAAAACCAAATATTTTTTTCGCTGTATAATTAATTAAAATTTAAATTAAAATTGTCCCTATTTAAAAATTCTCCCTAGG